ATAAAATGCATGACACATTGTTGGTGCTAAACAAATATTTGTTGAATTACTGATGGTCTCAGAAGTCAATGAAACCTAATCTTGTGTTTATTTCACTTTAAAAATTCTACTAGAGCCTTAGGCGGCACTAGAAAAAAAGCCTAGATTGTGGGAAGATAAAAGTAAAAAAGAAACCTCACAAAATTATGTACATCTTCCCTTTGGAGATTTTTCGAAGTACTAAGTGAAATTTTATATATTTCATAAGATTTTTAAATACTTCAAAACAAGAAGTTGGTGCCAGTAATACACTTGGAAATGAGAGCAGCTTGCCACTGGCAAGCTCTGCTTAAACCTGTTACATGTACACATTGAAAGTGAATCCAACTCCTTTATGTATTTCCCATCAGATAAAATGTATAGAGGGGGAAAAATAAGCAAAAGTTAGAACTAACCTGGACAAATCTACTGTAGCAAACTCAGGAAGTAACTAGCTCGAAGGAATACATGGTGAAATAGGAATCATTTTTCCAGTTCTATCTATTTTAGATTTTATTAACTCCATCCTTAGGAACAAAGAGGGAATTTTGGTGGGAATTAGGATGGGAAAAGCTGGAATCGGTTAGGAAGATATATATTTAAGTATTTGCTCTTTGAAGGCATTTAATGAAGTTGGTTTTTTTTTTCTTTTTCTCTTTTTTAAGAAAAACCTGAATCAACTGTCTTAATTTTTATGTATTTTTTAAGTAAGTGTAAGCAAATGGTGCCCAAAGTAAGTGATTTTGTACCTGTTCTCTTCATTTATACCAGTAGGCCTGTCTAGAAATTATGACTAAGTTATATTGACCTTGAATCATTCAAATACTGGCCAAAAAAAAAAAAAGAAAGAAAGAAAGAAAAGAAAAAAAGAGAGAGAGAGAGAAACCAATATCCACACAATTACACATGGATCCTTTTATCTCAATGGTCAGTGTTGCTGTAAGTGGTGGATAAGAGTAATTGGCTGAACATTTCCCAAGAAAATGACCTCAACCTCTAACTAACTGCTGTGGCTCGAGGAGATTACTTTTTCCCTTTTCAAAGGGAAGCTGCTGCTTCAGCATCTTCTCCGGGAGCCCCTGGCAGCAGTCCAGGCCATGTGTCAGGGGAATCCTTGATCGCATCACAATGACGGAAGCCAAGTGCTGGCCTACAAGAATTGAGGACTGTTTGTTCGCCGAAGATCCCGAGCAGAAACAGGGGCGTTACATAGTTGGAGGGTGCCTCGACAAAACCCGACCCTGCCGTAGGAGGGGACTTCCAAAGGCTCAAGTTATTTCTCATTTGCTGTTCCACAGCCCTCTCCTAGCTTTTATGGGATTTAGCTAGCAGTTGTTGCTTAGGCATTTTTCTCCCTTGTAGTTCCTTGACTTAGCAAGATTTTCGACAGTTGGAAAAAAAAAGAGTTTTTGTATACTATTTTCAAGTAGTGCCACAGTGAATACTCTCTAGGGAGAAAGCATTTTATTAATGATTGCTGTACGTGTTCTTGGTAAAATCCAAAATTAAACTACGTCACTGTTTTTATCCTGGTAGCCATCAATGACATTTAGGTGTGCTGTTCGGTGTAGTGACTCAATTTCCTGTAGGAAAGCTGGCAAGTCCACACTGAGGTTTTTTTAGTGGGGATGAAAAGGTCAGTTACTCGATGTCTTAGAGCATTTAGGGTTAAAATTCCTAAAAGTTAAACTTTAATAATGATCCTAAAAAACTGTGGCCAGCCACACTGCCTATAAACCTCAGAATTTGGGAAAAATAGTATTCTCAGTTCTATACTAATATCAGCAATAATTCTTTATTTGAACAACAGTTTTATAGAACAAATTTCTTTACTCTGTCAGTAAATATTTTCTTGCTTATTGGTACGTAGATGTGTTCGGGTCCCTGTTTTTCCATTCTCCAGATTTGTACAATACGTGTAGAGGTAGTTAGAATTTAAAATACATGGGTGTACCACATTATTATTGTAGGCAAATGCTGATTGTTAAAATGGGTAATCTATGATTTGGACACAAAGTAGATCTTCTGAAATAAGTTGTCCTTCTTGTTGCTATACTGCCTTCTTAAAGGCAAGTCCTGTATTTAAATATATAATGTCTTAAAGCATTGAAACTTCCTGAATTTCTACCCCTTTTACAATTAAGAAGTAAATACTGGAATATAATATGTAGTGCCACATCCAGGATAAGTCCAAAGCCTGTATTTCTGAAAAGTTTGAGAAGTTGGTGAAGATGGGAAGATTACTTATACTGGGGAGCTCCCTTTGGGGCTGAGACTTTAAAGGCTTGGAATGCAGGGAAAGGAACATGGAAAGCCAAGCCTTAGAGGTATGGAGAAGGGATTCCTGGCTTTCTGTATGTACCCAGTGACTGGAAAGATGGCAGTGAACACATCCTAGGCACAGTGGTTTTGCATCTATAACCTACTAGATGTGCTTGCTACTGACAACTTAAATAACCCAAAACAAGTTAATTTCCTCTTAAAGTGTCCTGCATCCTTATTTTACATGTAGAGGGAAAAAAGCAAAAAGAAAACAAAACCATACAGTAAATGTACTATCATTTCAACCAGGTTACTCTGTACTTACATATGGAAGGTATTGGGTAAAATGAAAATGTGTTATGATCATAGGCTTAATTATTGTTTGCAATCCTTAGTGTATTGGATTACAAGGGACTTTCTACATTACATCATTGTGTAATGTTTCCATTTTTAAAAGAATCATACTATATTTTTATATTCTTATAATCAGGGCAAGGCTATGCAGATAAAACATTTTATACTTATTATCTTAAATTATCTTTAAGGTTGTTACTTTGGGGGGGAAGGCCCAATCTTACTCTTTAATGTACCTGGCAAGGTTTGACAGCTGTTGGTTCACCTAGAGTATATATTTACAGAGATTGATGCAGAAAAGAAAAAGGAATAAAAGTGGCAGATTTAAACATAGAGTCCCCAAAATGAATACCAAACAGTTCAAGAATCCTTGATAACAATGAGTCATGTGGCTCATGTAACAAATACTTTGAAAGTTATTCTAACTTTTACAAATTTTATGTAAAAACCTATCTGGTAAATCCCTGGGAACCTGAGTTTCAGTCTGTGAAATTCTTTGTTGTGCCACTGATCATTTATGGAGTCTAAATTTCAAGGGTAGTGTTTCTTCTCCTCCAATACCTGTAGATTTGAAGACAAAAGGGATCTCTCAACTTCATGTAAGCTTTTCAATGTATTCTTTTTAAATGACAATAACCAAGTTTTATAAGATGGGACTCTTCAGAGTTTGGATTATTTTCCTCTCCGAAAGTTTTGTTCATCCACTTGCTAACGTAGTGAAGTTCTTGCAGTTGATCCTTTTATGTAGAGTGCCTGTGGTCCCCAGGGTCAGCTTTTGTAAATGGAACCAGCTTTCGTACCATGCCTTTGGATATTGTCTTTTCATTTTCTCACGTTTGTAGTTTATTCTGCATATGGTGGGCAGAAACACCCTTCCAGACTTTTTCCTTTGGCATCACAGGACCATCGTGGTCTCTGATTTGCAATTCCACAGACGAAGGAAGCACGTATGTACGACATGTGTCAAGTGCCTGTCCTACGTAGTGCATTCACATTGCTGCTCCTTTAAGAGAACTCTTAGACAATCCCGAATGTGAAAATACAGCATATTGTCAAATCTGTAAATTCAAAAGCCTTCAATGTTGTTTTTGTTTGCTTCCATGTTTCCAACATTTAGAAATCTGGTACTTAGCAGAGGCCGGGTTGGGTACTACTGCAAGAGTCTGGTTTTAACAGAAACAATTCTATTCCCACAACCGCCCTGTCCCCTTGAAGTAGGTAAATCCTAAGCCCTCAGAAACGAAGCCTCAAAAGCCCTAACACCCGAACCCACAGAAACGGTTGCTCAGGTCCTGAATAACCGTGTTTGCGCCGCCCGTCTGGCTCTCCCGCGAAACCCCGCGGGGTGCAACGGACGGTGAAGACGCTGAGACTTAGGCAGTCGGGGCGACCGGGAGGGGCGCGCTGGGTCCCCGCGGGGCAGGTGCGCGGCCGCGCGCGCGCGTGCGCGCCAGGTCCCGCCTGAGCCCCACGGCGGGCGTGACCCCGGGTGGCGGGCGCTCCACGCCGGGTTTTGGGCCGCTCTCCTCGCGCAGCCCCACGACAGCCCCACAGATACACGCGATCGCGCCCGCGCCTCCCGGGCTCGGCTTCAAAGCGAGCGGCACCGGGCAGCGCGGGGTGATGCCCCGGCGAGGCGGTGGGGCGGTCGGGGCTGGGGCTTCGGGGAAGGCGGCGGCGGGGGGCGCGGGGGGCGCGGGCGGGCCTTGGCAGTTGGCAGGCGCCTTGTAAAGGAGCTGAGGAGGGGCCAGGCAGCGGCGAGGGGCGTGAGGGGGAGTGTTCCCGGAAAGCCGCGGCGATGGAGCATCGCCGGGCGCCGGAGGAGTTGAGAAAGAAAACAGGAAACGTGGTGGCCGCGCACCCGGCCGCGGCTGATTCATTGGCGTCGTGAGAAGGCTCTGCAGGCGGCAAGCGGAGCGGGCGCGGGGACGCGGCTCGGCCCGGCCGGCGACGAAATTAGGCCGTGGACCAGGCGCTCCGTCCGCGGGGTTCGCCTCGAGGCGCGCGCTGCCCTCTTCGCCCGCCTCCCGGGCTGGCCCTGGGGACCGCCACACCGTCGAAAAGTCGCACCGTGGGGTTTTTGTCTGTGTCTCCGTATAAAAGTTGGCTTGCCGCACTTTGTGCGCCCTCTCTGGACGCGGAACTGAGACGCCAAGCTGGAGAAACCGTGCTACCCCGAGGCCGGCCGCCCCGCTAGCTGAGCCCCCAGCGCCGTGCCGGGCTCGGCACTATGAAGAAGCAGCCCTCATGTGCGGGCACCGGGCATCCGAGCATGGCGGGGTATGGCAGGATGGCCCCCTTTGAACTCGTTGGCGGCACCGTGAAGCGCTTGAGAACTGAGTCCCCCTTTCCCTATCTGTTCGCAGAGGAGGCCTACCAGAAACTGGCCAGCGAGACCCTGGAGGAGCTGGACTGGTGTCTGGACCAGCTAGAGACCCTGCAGACCCGGCACTCCGTCAGTGAGATGGCCTCCAACAAGGTAAGCTCTGGCTCTGCCTGTCACCAACGCCCCTAGACTGCTGATTCCCACGCTGCCAGCCCCTGTGGCCCTGAGAAACACATACAGATTGTGTCACACTGCATGTTGGCTCTTTTACTCCCTTGGAGGGAGGTTCCTGATTCTGTGCTTTCCCTGTCTCTTATATTCACTCCAGATAAATTAGACATTTTGCAAAAACAACTTTGACATAGTTTGATTACAGCACCCCCCGAGCCACAGTGAGTGGGGATTTTTTTTTTTTTTCTTTGAGATGGGGGAGTGGGCTTGTCAGTGACACTTTGCCCTTGCAGCAGAAACCCAGGCGGGGCCGTGGGTATTGCATGCTTAAGGGTATTCTTGGGATTCCCAGTTGGAAATAAGAGTTGGTGGAGGTCAGTGCAATCTCTTGGATGTCACCACGTACCGCCCTCATGCTCAGTAGAGCTCACTGAACTTGGAACCTTGACTCTTATTTATCTAGATGTTAGGGTACATTGTAAGAACTGAGCCTTTTTATGTTCACTTAGCCTTATGTGTCCACAGGAAATATCAAGAAAGTTAAAAAGTTCATTATGATCATACCTTTGTTTTCGTGAATCTTGGAGAGAAGTCCAGTTTTCCGAGGTCATTTAGTATGTTTCAGTGGGTCATTTGTGCCATATATGCTGAAGTGCTGTCCTTGGTGGTCGGTGGAGTTTTGGGGGACTGAGAAGTAACCTTCAGCCTCAGATAGCCTTAAAGCAAGGTATAGTGTTGTCTGTTGTCTATAGTGTTGTCTGTAGTGTTACTGTATTTTTTGGAATTTCTGTTCTTTTTGTCTTTAGTTATGTAAGGAAATAATTGGGATTATGTATGTTTTTAATGAATGTTGGGCTGAGAAGATAGGGAAAGAGGCACATTCATGTTGGATGCAGATCACTGGGGGATTCAACCAGTAAAAACTGGTAACTGTGTGGCAGTTCCTTAACAGTTGCCTCTTAAAGATATTTAAATATTGTGGCCATCTATTTACAAGGTCAGGAAGGTTATACCACTTTACAGTTTATCTGTGTGCACATATTTTTAAAATGTGTGATGCTTTTTCTTGGCTTATTATAGTTTTTATCCCACCCATTGCCCCCCACCTTCAACAATCAGTTTTCTAAAATACCATAGCATATCAGCCACTTGATTGTCTTATCCGTTGACAGTGCTTACATAGATTGCATTGTTTTTGAAGTGAGAAGTTAGCTTCAAATAGAATAAAAGGGACTCCTCACACACTGTCTACAGGCACTAACTTACCCATAAGTACACCAACCTAACCCAAATGCACACTTGGGATCAGATCTCGGTTTTTTGTTTGTTTCGTTTTTCTGGTTTTTGTCATTTCGGCCTCATTTTGAAATTTGGTATGGCTCCTTATCAAAATAATTCATCATTGGGCTCTCACTTCCTGCTGTGCCATCAGGTGCCGTTGTTTTCTTCTGGCTGGCAAAGTCTTAGTTCATTGATTAATTTCATAAAATAGTAATTTTTTTAAATAATTTGATTGATACTAGCAGTAGGCTGTGCTGAGTTTCTTCAATGTACTACGTGCTGAATGGGACCATTCTGCAGTGGGATTGTGTTCTTAATTTTCTTGTCTGGTTAACACTGTGTAAAAAAGAAGAGCAGAATCAGAAGGCACCTAAAGGGATGTGTACACATTTCAAGATGATCTGACAGTAGTTGTTCAGAGAAAAGAACCTAAGCAGCTATAATTACTTTCTCCAGAAATCCATACTCTTAATGATGAGACCTATGTTTGAATTTAAAAATTAACATGAAATCTAATAATGTATCCTAAATGATGTTAACTGTCAAGTAATTGGTTTATCTCTACTTCAAGATTTTAAAAAAATAAAGCTTTAGGTCACAGTAATTGATCAAAATGATTTCTTTCTTTAATGGCACCAAATAAGACAGGATTTTTTTTAAAATCTCCATTGTGAAGGCACCCAATTAAACTTTGAGTTAATTTACAGATTTAGTAGAGAAGGTGCATTTATTTGGTTGAAGAGAAATGTAGGTTAAGTGAGAAAAGACTTTTTAAAAAGATAGTGATTCTAGCTGTTTGTGTCTTGTGGTTGAAAGATTATCGACAGGACACTTATTTTTAACATTAAAAAAATCCAACTTGGCTGAAGCTGTTGCTTAAACTTCTAATTTCTAAGCTACCCATTTCCTTTTTTTTAACCCATTCATTTTTACAAGAATGCTAAACTCCTGTAACTTTTTATAGATGAAATTTTAGGATTAGCATAGAAGGAAAAGAAAGCTCTTCTGCTTTCATAACGAGGGCACATAAGCTGTAAACTGAGTGGGAGCAGCTGATCTGAAGGTCCTCGTGAGTGATGCCCAACCTAAGTCTGAACTAGAATTATGATGACTTGCAACACATCTTTGAGGATGAATGAATACCTCTGAAACATTGCTTTCTGGTTATGTTTTATTGCTGTCCATTATTTTTACATGTACTTGTTTGAACCAGCCAATATTTTCAGGTTATTCTCTTTCTACCTTTGAAAAATCATAACATCTTTATGTGTTCTTCTCACTTGAGTTTTTTTTTAATTTAATAGTATAATGTAACATAATAAAAATACTAGTAAGGTCATGATTTTTAAGTGATTATGGAGAGGAAATAATTATTAGGGATATAGGCTTGGGTATTAGGAAGAGGGAAATTGATTCCTTCAACCCATTTAACCATTTGAGTTAATAGATTATTTGTGTTTTTGAAAATCTTAATTAAAGGAATCCAAATTATTAGCAGTTGTAAAATGATGCTTTAGAAGTAACTCCCTATATTCCTGACTGACATTATAGTGTGCATAATACTTATTGATGCTACTAAGGCAGGAAAATTATAGAATTCTTGGACAAAGTCAACATGGACTGTAATATATGTAGGATGCTTGTACCAAGTAGGGTAAGAGACTCCAGATGGCATTTAATTTGAGTGATTAAATCTACAGCACTTACCCTCATAAGCACATTAATCTCCCTGAGATTTGTACAGATTTCCTTTAGAACCTTATTGCTACAGTTGAAGGAAGTTTTGGTAAGGTTTCAAAGCTTTGCAAGTAGGCAGACCTGGAAGTTAAATCTTGGTTTTGTTCCTTGGTTGCTGAGTTACATTAGAAAAATGAAGTCAGGGGCGCCTGGGTGGATCAGTGGGTAAAAGCCTCTGCCTTCAGCTCTGGTCATGGTGCCAGGGTCCTGGGATCGAGCCCCACATCGGCCTCTCTGCTCAGCGGGGAGCCTGCTTCGCCCCCTCTCTCTGCCTGCATCTCTGCCTACTTGTGATCTCTGTCAAATAAATAAATAAAATCTTGAAAAAGAAAAAGAAAAATGAATTCAACTTTTTAAGCTTTAGTTTCCTTAGCATAAGATGAGCACAGTAATACCCATTTTGAAAGATCAATGTAAGAGTTTGAAAGAATATATATAAAGAGGTATCTAATAAAAAATTGTGATAGTAAGCATTATACCTGGTGTTACTGGTATAATTGAGATTTAGGTCAAACTTCATTGATAGTCTTCTTGGATAACATTTTTTTTTTTTTAACCTTTCAGTTGTAATTTTTGCTTGACTTTTTATGTTTCATGGGTTGTTACAATGCAGTCCTTAGATAACGGTCTTTAGTATACATCTCTATATTATGAAAAAAAGCTTATTATTTACACAATTTTTGGTATAATACAGATAGAAACATTTTGAACTTCCAGTTAGTTTAGACTTTTCTTAAATTCCAGTGACAGAATTCCAGACAGAGGTGCTAAATACTTTCTGTGTTTTATTCTAAAAGTGAAAACACAGCACTTATTAATTCTTGGAATATGCTCAACATAGTGTGGGATTGGTTAGGACATCTTCATTCTTTTGTACAGAATTTACAAAGCTAAAATACCTTTTTAAACTGTTTTTAATGTAAAGTAGTTTCACAGTGTTTTTGGTTACCTTCTCTCAAAGAAAGTAAGTCGAGGATGTGAGGTGGGCAGGCCAGGAATTGAAGCCTCGGGACTTTAAAAAATTATGCCTTGGAGAGGTGCCTGCATAGCTCAGTCAGTTGGCTCAGGATTTTTGGCTCAGGTCATGATGTCATGATTGTGAGATCAAGCTGCACTGGGCTCCACAATCAGCAGAGAGTCTGCTTAAGGTTCTCTCTCTCCCTCTGCCCCTCCCTGCCTCTAAAATAAGTAAATAAATCTTTAAAAAGGCAAAAAAAAAAAAAAAAAAAGATTCTGCTGTGGAGCCCTGTCACTTTATCCTCTTGTGACCTAATAACACATATTTCACCAGGCCTTCAGAGTGAGTGCAGTGATTTTTAAAGAGAAAACAAAATCATTTTGATTTTTTCCTAAAATATACCACTATAAAAATATGTTTTGTTTCTCTCTAATCTGGGGGCACTTTCGAGGCTTTCATTGCTGGAAACTGCCATGCTTCAAGTGGCAACTCTCTTGAAGTTAGGATTCAAGCATCGTTCCAAGAGACTTCAGGCTTTTCTTTAGTTAATGCTAGCTACACATCAGCCAACCTAACAGATGTGGTTGTGACTTTTTTATGGAATTTATTTTGTCTATTTACTTATTAACCAACATCTCTATCATGTTTTTGTTGCCTATAAATTAATTGCTCTTCTGGGTGCTTGTTCTTCGTTCTTCCCCCTCTGCTCCCCCTGGTGCTCTTGAATAGTCAGTGCATCCATAAAGTAATACTAGAGCTTTCTGTGACTGCTCATACTGTTTCTTCTGGACAAGACAGGTGCTGGAATGAATAGAGAATGTTCATAGGAGTGATTAAATCATAAAATATTTCAGCATTACAAGGCTGTAACTCTCAGAACGGAAGTAACTGTTTAACAAAGAAAGCTAAGAAAGAAGCTGTAGTTGGAAAAGCCTTTTAATTTTATGGAAAACAAATTGCAAATAACCCTTATTTTCTGCATTAAAATGTTAAAACTTACTGATAT